AAAACGTTTATAACTGGAAACGTTTTAAAATAGACACTTCTATTAAAAATGGACACATTCTATTACAGTTATAAAAGAGCTCATTGATCTTTGTAAGCACAACAGCCATGATATGAGTTCTTTGTTAACAAAGATTCACTTCTCAACATATCATTTGTATAAACTCCTATAAAAACTTTTACAAAACTTATATTTTTGATTCATTAATGAAAAGTTCATCAATAAAGTTCCATAGAACATGAGACAAAATAGGGCAGTTTTGTTGCTAATATTAAAATAAACACATAGTTCAGTTAGAATCATGATAATTTTGTGGTTATTCGCCTGTTTGATTATGTCCTGTTCCTAGGAAAATATCTGTAGCCAAAAGTAAAGGAATAGTTTGTAGTTCCCTTCAACGCAGTTTTATCCTCCCTGTTACTAAGTTACATGGAAAGTTGAGCTACATCCGGGATATGAGTGACTGGTAATAAGGATAGTCTTATTGGTTAACTGTGGACATGCTACTCTGAGTATCTATACGCTACCTGGTGTGTGAGCAGAGATTCACGTGTGGAAGAGGACGTGGAATTTATGTTCCAATTGAATATTAAAAAAAAAACTGTTAGGGACAATCGAGGGAGCTGGAGCGAGTACATTTAGATCGAAATTCCCTAATTGAAGTGTAGATTACCTAAAAGGTCGACCACCCCCTCCCCAGTTGATTTTGTTGTTATTTCAGTGCACAACTACTTAAGTTTAGCGTTATAAGTCCTTACACTTAGCAATGAATCGCGGTGGGGAGAGGGGGGCATAGAAGCATGGACAATGGACGGCTCACGAAGGAAATCTTGTTCATCCAGACCATAAGTCACATACATATCACCCTTGATGTCTCTGGTCCGCCAGATATAAACTGTTCCTGACAAACAAGCTGAAGTTTTTTGTGCTATAGGAGATGACACAAAAATTATAGTTATCACATCCTCTCTCTTAAAGAAAATAGTCTAGACCATCAATATCTAACCGGAAACATTTGATCCTGCCAACTATATCGAGAGATAAGCCATCAATATCTCCAAATACAGAGGGTTAAGTGCGTTATATTAAAACGATTTTGGAGTTTTACCACGTCGTTACAGTCTACGTCGCCACGTTTGGTCATGGTCTACCTGACGACCTTGCCTCTTTCCAACAACCCCGCAGTGTAATTTCCATTGCAAAAGGTTCTGTCGTAAGGCTGTCATGTCCAAAGCACATCACTTCTCCGTGCATACTTTACATAATCCATCTAATGTAAGAGTATGACAATTTCCCATCGTCAGCTTCAAAAGTCCCATCGCACAGAAATCCAAAGATGCTACATCGGGCGACTTGACTGGTATGCCATCGTATGGTAAAGTATGGATACCTTTTCATTCTTCAGCTGGTTGATATATATACATTGGTTGAACGGGAAGTATGACTGGAAGCCTTATTTTGGTAAAATTAGACCCTGTTGGCCCTTTTTCCTGACGGAGATCATTCTGGATTATGTTGCGTGCCTGAGACACGTTTTTCATTCCCATTTACCTTTGTTTTCGTGGATTCTCTCCTGTTGCAATACGTCACACTTTGCTTAACACGACTGAAGTACGACTTGTTGTTGATATATTTCTGGATTGACCTTGTACCCCAAGTTAATCCATATTACATTATTTTCCAATACGTGCAAGGGATATCCCCGTTCGTGAAATTCTAAATCCCTGATCTGAATACATATTTATGATCTGAGTGTATGAATCCCAGATCTGAATACATATTTATGACCTGAGTGTATGAATCCCTGTTCTGAATACATATTTATCATCTGAGTGAATGAATCCCCGATCTGAATACATATTTATCATCTGAGTGAATGAATCCCCGATCTGAATACATATTTATGACCTGAATGTATGAATCCCTGATACGAATACATATTTATGATCTGAGTGTATGAATCCCTGATCTGAATACATATTTATGATCTGAGTGTATGAATCCCCGATCTGAATACATATTTATGATCTGAGTGTATGAATCCCCGATCTGAATACATATTTATCATCTGAATGTATGAATCCCCGATCTGAATACATATTTATCAACTGAGTGTATGAATCCCTGATCTGAATACATATTTATGATCTGAGTGTATGAATCCCTGATCTGAATACATATTTATCATCTGAGTGTATGAATCCCTGATACGAATACATATTTCTGATCTGAGTGTATGAATCCCTGATCTGAATACATATTTCTTATCTGAGTGTATGAATCCCTGATCTGAATACATATTTCTT